GGCTCTGCGGCGGCCGAGCCCTTGGAGGCTTTGGGTCTAAAGGATCCAGGGACAGGAAAATTGCATCGAATCCCATAGGTCTGCTTCTCAAATGTGGAGATAATTTGTTCACAGATGCCCACTCCCTTGACAGCTGTGCTGCTTGGCTTTTGATATCTCAAACCCTTTTCTTTCAAGTCTTCTGCTGCGGGGTTGAGCCTCATGGCACAGAAGGTGCCTGGAAGAACTGTGTTGCAATTGTGTTTGATTGCTCGCTTCTGGTCTCTAGGTGAACAGGAATTAATCTCTTTTTGGGGTGGCAGTTACCACTGAGATCTGCCCCATTAATAGCCTAATTGATTATACACTTAATATTAATCTGTTTTACATTGCTCTGGAAGAGTTGGCACCCCCCTCGTGGTTGTTATGCCTCTACACCACAGGCAGAAATCTCATAAGGGGTCTCACCTGCCTTTTGGTTTTTGTTTTTCAGGTGGTACCAGAGAGATTGGGTCTGCTCTCACCAGGATGTGTATGAGACACAGAAGTATAGAGTCCAAACTCAGGCAGTTCTCAAGGTGAGTGGCTCCATGCCTGGTCCAGCACTGGAGGTTTCTCTTTCAAGTGCTGCTGGGGAACATCTGAAGCTGTTCATCAGCATTGGCTTCTCAGCTGACCTCTGCCCATGTCATTGAGAGCAGTAATTGTTTTCTCCCTGCAACACATTAGGTGCTGTGAACATGCTGGGTTTCACTGCACATTTATGGGGCTGGGCCAGTTCACCTCAAATCACCCCTAAATGCTATAAATTCCTACTGTCAGTCCCTGTTGCTCAGTGCTGAGCAGGCAGCTGCTGATGTGACTAACTGACCTGTCTTTGTTTCAGGACTTTAAGCTTTGTCACTTGGTTTTATACAGGCAGCAGCAGCAAGTGTTGTGCTGCTTCCTCAGCTTACTGCAAAGCCCAAATAGCTTGTGGCCAAGACACAAACCTTCAGCAGAGCAATATAGGAAATGCAAATTCTCTCATCCTGTTTTTGCAGTTGAAGTTAGACTGCAGAGGTAATGAGAGAGCATTAACTCATGTGCAACCTGGGCTGTACAAAAACAACCTACTTCAATAGTTAGTAGTAGTTTGTCTGTGTGCCTTTTTGAACCAGACTTAAAAGTTACACATGATCTTAGTTGAACAAAAATGATGCTTCACCATTTGCCTGATGACCTGCTATGTTTTTTTCCCTTTTCCCCCCATCCTTGAAAGTGTTCAAAGCCAGGTTGGATGGTATAAGCAGCCTGGTCTAGTGGAAAGTGTCCTTGACCATGGCAGGGTGCTTGGAAGCAGATGACCTTATCCCTTCCAATCCAAGATATTTTATGATTATTCTGTGATTACTTTAAAATAAAGCTATTTATGAAATTGGCCATGAGAATACAATTTTAGCCTCCAGTTACCACAGAGTTAGCTGTTTAAATGGTTTGATACCAGTTTCAATAACTAGTGGAGCATTAGTGGTACTGTATCAAGGACTCCACCAGTGTGAGGTGAGGCACATCGCTGGGCACGATATTGTTCTCTTGTACAGCTGCTCTGTCTTCTTGTGTATACACATGTGCTATTTAAGTTTATAATCTCCATGGCTGCATGAACCTTTCTGGTCTTCAGATTTTCCATTTAAATTGTGTGACAGTTGAGTAGGATCTGTTTACTCTGAACTGTTTCGGGTCACTCCTCTGCTTTGCTCTCTGTTTCTCCCTGTGTCTAGAGCTTTTGTAATTCTGGTTATTTTGTGATGTGGATTTTTTTTTTTAATCTACTTTTTTCTTTTGCATTCTCTAGTGTAAACATTTAAATATTTTTATCTTCTGATATTTACATTGTGACATTGGTAGCTGTCACAGCAAAAAGTAAAAATACTCCACTATTGACCTTGGCTCTCTCTGTAAGAATAAGGGCATCTGCAGGATTTGATTGCTCTTTGTGTTTTTCCAACAAAATTAGTGCTTTAATTGACTGTCTGATAAACCCACTTCAAGAACAGATGGAAGAGTGGAAGAAAGTGGCCAATCAGCTGGATAAAGACCATGCAAAAGGTAGTTACAGAGGAAGAATTCTTTAATAGGAGTAAGATTGTAATACCAGTTTTGCTTCCTCTTTTCATGTTTGTACTGGAGAACTGAATAACATGCTTAAATATGTATAGCAGTTTTTCCTCTTCTGAAACAGTTCTGTCCCAAAGTGCCTAACAAAAATTTAACCCTTGCTGTATGCATTTTGGAGGTTTAGTTTGCTGGACCCCGGGGGTGGGATGTTTTTCTAGACTGATAAGCAGTGACTGGGTTTAGCTCTGTTAGCCCACTCTCCCTATATGAGCTGAGGATTGGAGATGCCACATCTATCCCTGCAAAGCCCTGGGGTATTGTTAAAAGCAGCTTGTAAGATCATGTTATGCCTCAGCCAGGGTGTCCTCCAGAGAATGCTCAGCCGTGTAAAACACTGAGCATTGTTTTTTTGTACCTGATGCCATACAGAAAACGCACCTGTGGAACAGGAGAGCTCTGCTATGGGACAGGGGATGCCCTGGGCTGCTGGGGTGTGATGGCTCCAGAGGCTTTCCTGGGGAAGTGAGCAGCAGGCAGCCAAGTCTTGCACAGCAAGATCATGTTGGTAGATGCTGGGAAGGGTGGCCTTCTAGCACAGTTGGTGAAAGCAGGTTGCAGTTCACCACTGACTGACCCTTGAAAATTTAAGACTTCTGTTATGTCTGAAAGAAGCAGCAGCACCATGTAAACTGATAGGAAGGAGTGGGCTTGACCTCTAAAAGAGGATTTTCTTCTTGCCCCATCATTACTGTGAGCAAATAGTAGCAGTTGAATCAGCAGCTCCTGAAAAACTTCCTGTCTTTTGCTGCAGAGTGATAAGCATGTAGTGAGCAGGAGAGGGGAGTCACATGGGGTCATGGGCAGTAGGGGTGACCCAGGCCAAGGTGGCAGTGAGATTTAGAGCTTACTGGGCAGACTTGGGTGTTGGGAATGCAGTTGGCCTTGGTACAGTTCTTGTGCCTGCCATGAATCTGCTTCTATTTTTCATCTACAGAAGGGTGGTAACACTGATCTCCTTTGTTAAAGTATATGTGTACATGTATATACATGCATACATGCATCTTCTTTTTTTTTTTTTTTTCTTGTAAGTATCAGTTTTCATATGTGGTACCTTTAGTGTTCGTGCACTAGAGGTTGAATATTTTGTTCTGGGATTTTAATTCTCCTAGGATGTGCAGCTCATCTGAAAATGAGGACAAGTGCAGTGTGCTCCACTTCATCAGAAGGAGCTGGCAATGTGACACTTCCTTGGGCAGAGTTTTAGCACCCTCTTCCTCTGCCTGACTCTCATGCTGGAGAGGGATCACAGGATATTCTCTTCCTTGCCATTTCTGGATAGCTGTTTTTTTGCACACAGATGTTTCGAGAAACCTGTCATCTCTGTTTTCCATTCCTGAGAGTGGATGAAATGAAAAGCACTCTAATTTTGTACTATGTTCTCAGTTGTTATTTCTGTAAAGGCTTTGTTTATTTGAGAAAGATTTTGGTATGTGAATGTGCTCACACCCTAAAATGTTATATTAAGCCAAATGTATAGGCTTTACAAAATGTGAGTTCTAAGCCTCTTTGTTTAACAGTAGCTGTTCTCCAAAAGTTTGTAGTCCAATGTCTTTAAATGTAGCCTTTTCTATGAAAAACATTCATTTTGACATTGATTATATCGATAATAGAGATTGTGTGTGTTTTTTAGAATACAAAAAAGCCCGCCAAGAGATAAAAAAGAAATCATCTGATACACTGAAGCTACAGAAGAAAGCAAAGAAAGGTAACTTTCTTCATACTGTACTGTTAAGTCTTCTGAGCTGTGCTCATTGACAAAGATTGAACAGTGATAGAACTTTCTACTGTAATCATCCTGCTCCTCTAACGTATTCCTGGTACCTACTTGGGCACTAGAATCCAATTACTATGTGTCATTTAAATCATACCTGAAGCTGCTGTCTGCTGTATTGTACAAAAGCCTTAGAACTGTTTGTGCAAAGTCAATCATGCTTTAAAATAGAGCCCTTACTGCTAACTTTTTCTTTTTAGGAACACTGACACTCTTAATATGACTTGTGCAGATACCTGTAAAAAATTCTAGACTCTTTTAGAATCATATAAAAAAAGCCATTATGTAAATGTTCCTTAACTATTAACATTTCTCACTGTTCTTCCTTTCTGTCACTTTTCCTCTTTTTCTTTTTTTTAACAGCCTGTAATCTCCTAAACTTTACTTTATTGATCAGACTGAGACAGTGGCATGGGTTGTTTTTAGGGAGAAGGGCTCTTGGCAATCATAGAAAACTAAAGATGAGTGAGAAGAAAAAGGGAATTTTCCTGAAAGACAATTTGCCTTTTTTATCAGCTGTATCTCATGCTTCTGTTGCTCTTCCACCTCCACCTTGTCATAGGGGTTTCATCACTGTTTTGATGGAAACATGCAGCACTGCCAGCTGCAGCACTGCCATCAGTAAGGGTTTTACTTTGCCAAGTGCAAACCCCACCAGGCTTTGGAACATTGATAGGGACCTTGTACAGAGACTTCCTGGTTCCCTTTCCTGCACTGGGCTCTTCCCAGCTGTGTCAGAAGTGTGCTTCAAGCAGCTATCAGTCTACAGGTTGAAACTTGTCCTTCTCTTCCTGCCTAAAAACTGTGAACCCAGAGACAAGCAAAATAAATGCTGGAGTGGGGAGTTTCTTGAAATTTTCAAATTGTGTGATACTTAGAACAGGTGAGCTGTCTCTGACTGTCCTTCCATGTAGGTGAATCAATAATCCCAGTGGTAGAAAGCCAGATAACTGGAAAACTGCTCTTGAATGTTAGCTGGCTTTAGGTAAGAAATGAGGAAAGGGGAAATGAAAGCCATCAAGAGGGAGCTTAGCTCAGTAGGTTCTGTGTCTGTCAGTTTAGTGTTCTAAATCAGAATCATGATCATTAGGGGAATATGACTTTTTGAGTTAGGATCTTATTTTTGGGTAATGCATAAACATGATTGTCATTTTGTGTGATGAATTGTCTGACTGCAGACCAACAGCTTTATAGAGTTTGTGATGTTCCTTCCATGTCTCCTCCTGTCTCTCCCCGACCTTTTCTAGTGTTATTTCTTCTTGTCCTTGTGTGATACAAACAACCCATCAGTGCATGGTAGGTAAGCACTGAGGAAAACATAAAAGTATGGAATTGTTTGGGTGGATGTCTGGGGTCTTTGAGGAGGGGGCCATTTTTTGAGCCTGTTTCTATAGATTGACGGGTGTCTGGCTCCAACTCCCTTTAATCCTGCTTCTGAGTGTTCAATAAATCACTCTGCAATATCGAAGGAGGAGACATCATTTTTGAAATGTGAAGAGGAAAGAGAAGTACTTAAAAGCTGCTGGAAAAAAAAAATACAACCCACTGTTCTTGTACTACAGATACCACCTGCATCTGTTAGCAGTGGTTAAAGCAAGCAGACTTGGTCCTTGGATTTTCTGCTTTCATATCC